ATAAAAAATTATTACGTGTATACATGAAGTTCGTCGATACGATACTGCAAGGTATACACATTTACAGCGAGTATAACGTCGAACGCGAGAAAGAAGGGGTAATATAACACGGGTAATAATAATCGCGCCGTTTAGCACCCACGCGATCCCAGTCGCGAATGCGTGTGTGAGTTTAAATGTGTACTAGCACCGACACATTCGCGCGCGTTTATACACAACATACACGAGCAAAAAAGAAGAGGAAGTCAAGGTCGTTATATGCATGTACCTATGGATATCAGACCTCTTGTGCACGCGCTTTCGCCCTCTCGCCCGTCGCTCTCTTTCTCTCTTCCGGGGGGCTTATGAAGCAATACGTATAGTTTTTCTGCGTTGCCGCGTGTGTGCCGCTCAGCTATGCATGCTAATTCGTCCGTTTCGTTATTTTTTCCGCGATTCGGGCGCGCGCGAGGGCTACACATACCTCCGGGAATTCCGTTGCACAAATCATTTCTATTTTTCCTACTACTACTACTAGGCCGTTGTCGTTGTTATCTTGGCGCCGCGCGCGTGTGTGTGCGTGCTTTATTCGAAATAAATGAATAATGAATACGACGAGTCGCTGCAGTATAAGCTCCGCATGCCATCGGTAACTTCTGCGCTTAATAAATTAAAATCGATATATGCATGTATCCGGGCCGAGGATGCGCGGCTTAGGCCGAATATTCGTTCGGCCTTATACATACAAACGTACGATTGATATTCCAGACGTCGTTCCTTATACGCGCTCGGCTGCTATATCCAAGCCGAAGGAAATGCTTGATAGACATTACGTGCAGTTGCTCAGGCGTGTGCGACCATCGTGCGTGTATCGCATGTATATACGAGTACAAGAGTGTGTGTATGTGTGTATGTGTGTGTGTGTGTGTGTGTGTGTGTGTGTGTGTGTGTGGCTTGCGTGCGAAACGCATCTTTATTCGCTAGATACTTATGTGGAGCGACGACGAGATGCTTATCAAGATTTTTTTTTTTAACACTTCAAATGCAATGAGTGATGTGAAATTTACCCCGATTAAGCTGATATAAATCGTGTTAGCGCGGCTAAATTACACCGTTCTATAGAGAGAGAGAAAGAGAGAGAGAAAGATAGCCGCAACAGCTTTAAAGCTACATTGTTTCAGTAAGCCAATCGAAAAAATCGTTTGTCTTTTTTTCCATATAGTCAATATATTGAATATTCATGCAACGGGCTTCTGTAAAAACACTGATAAATTTACTGAAAAATCTTCGTGGACGAGATGAAAAAAAAGAAATACTTTTGGTAACCCTAGATGAATTTGTCGGTAAACCATTACTACGCGATTAAAAAAAAGAAAAATATTTTTTTACGCTTCGATGCTACATAGAGCACAATTTTGTAAAGCTTCGGAGCGGAGTGTCCGAAGGATATTCGACTCGAGCTCTAGCCTATAAACACATCGATACGTCATACAAAATCGTATAGGCATGTACGACAATTTCTCAAAACAAAATAGCCTCATACACCGGGCATGACGCAACGATTGTTATTATTTCTCAACGCGTTCTCAAATCCTGATGCATTTTTTTTATTTTTTACGCTCGAATTCCATTAGAATCTTTGTCCAAGCGCGTGCTTTATTTTTTTTTCTCGCGGCACATCGGAACACGCACGCGCGCGCAGAGCTGCGACAGGTACCGTGTGTTTTTTCTCCTATTATTATAAGCTCGCAGCGGCTTTCGAAATTGATGTTGCATGAGTCCTTCTCTCTATCTCTCTCTTTTTTTTTGTCTGCTGCCGCCGCGTCTATATCCCGTTTGACGTTATACAGCGGCGGAGTATCAGTGACGATTATGTCACGGTGCATTGTTTTGCCATACCGAGCAGAGAGCCGTATGTTATATTAGCTTGTTCGCGACCAATTGATAGACGATTATTATTCATATTCTACCTGTTTCGTCGTCCGTTTATTTATTTTGCCCGTATTATTATTTTACGATATCCACTTTCAGGGGGAATTTCTAGGACTTGTTTTTCTAAATGAAATGTGTCACCTGTGTTGCTGTTGCTCCATAGAAGTCGAGTCACGAAAAACTAAAGAGAATGTTTTTCAGCTCGTGCGTATTCACACGCGCGCGCTCGAAATACGCACGTAAAGCACAAACGCGACACAAATGAGCGTCTCTTCGTTTGCCTCATTTCGAGAAACATTTTTAAACGCATCGCAGCGTATACCTTCGACTGTGGCACCACTTTCTATCTTCTTCTTTTTTGTGTTTCGTATCTTTTTGCCTAACACGCGCGCGCACGCGCGCTTTGATGCGTCGCCAAAAGTTTTTTGAACTTTAATCGTGGCACTGATATGTATCTATGTATGTATGTAGGCGTGTGTGCTACACACGAGATCCACAAAATTGTGTCAGCTTTGACGAGTGTCTTTCACTTTACACTGCGGAATACATCTCCAAATCCTCTCCAGACCAAAGTCCAGTCCTCGCGAGCGCGCTCGAGTGCTTTTATTTCACTTCAAGGTTGACATAACGCACTTATCGTCACCTTAAATTCTCGAGCTCGAATCTCTTTCTAGCTCTCTTCGCGGCGGGCGTGCGACAAAACAAAGTCTCTTAGACGTACACATGCACTCTGTATTATATACGAAGAAAAAGAAAAACATCGAAAATTCAGACCTTGACACTGAGTGAGAGAGACGTAGTTCGCGCGGGGGTTGTTTCAATTAAATAAAAGCTTTGAAGCACGCGCGCGGCTTTTTCCTGTTTTCGGTATCGAGAAATCTCTCGCTCTCGACTTTTCCGAACTGACTGATTGCGATATATTTTATATTTATATACATTTGTATTATATGTATCGAGCTCCAGCCGTCAAGGCCTAACAATTAGGTTCGATAAAGTAGCCAGTAATTATGATTTTATTCAGGATAATACGTGAGCGCGCACATAATAGCGCGTCGCAGAAAAGCTTAATAGGCGCGTTTACAAGCGAAATCCTCTCTCGCACGCGCGCGCGAGCAGCAACAGAGAGCCCCAGCAAATTCGAAATGCAACCACGTGTGGTGCCGAGCAATTTTCCAGTCGCTCGGTCGCTCAACCGCAAGACGAATTAGCAGTGTGCTCTCTCTCTCTCCCTCTGTGCACACGTACATAAGCACACACATGCACACGCTTGGTCGCGCTCTCGCTTCTAGCAAGAGAGAGATCGTATCTCCCGCCGGAAACGTTTCATTCCTCTAGACGTTTTTTTTTCGTCGGATAATATTTTCCGACCCGATCTATTCGTGATTTCTCATATATACAAAAAGAATACGCTTGACCCACGTAACGTGCTCGCAGGAGCTTTTTAATATATTTATAATAATAATCTATAATTTACAACTAGTTTTTTGTTTATTAATTATATCTTCTTCTTAAGCTGCAACAATTGAAACGCGAACAAATCAGCTTCTCTTGATTATTAGTATTTTTTCTAAAGGAGAAAAGCAGGATCTATCAAGGTCAAGATGCAGATAGACATATCTCCGATCCGTCATATACATATTTTCTTCCTGCGGACCTTGGCCTTCGCGCGCAGCTCACAAAATCTTCACTCTATATTATAACGATATAACGTTTACATTGAACTAAAAGTACTTTTTTTCCACTTCTATCTGTCTTGCGTTTTTCATAATGCGGATAAATTGCTCTATACAAACTCGATGCAAAGTAAAAGGTGGTGGCGTAGGAAATTTTCGCACGCAACAGCATAAGCTATGCAAGCTCCATGCTCTCCGCGTCCTTGGATGTTTTCCATTCTTTCTTCCTTCCGGGGACGTTTTATGCACACGCGAATACATACACGCACACCCCGTGAGCGTAAAAGCTGGCACGCATACAATTAAGTGTCTGCTATATGTAAACGGGCTCGTACCTCTGCCAAAGCGTGTGTCTCTCCTAGAGGTGTACGCGTGTGTGGGTGTATACACTTTATACGTAACGCAACAGGTGGTCCACGTACATTCAAGGGGGGGTTGAAAACAAAAGTTAGCACGGCGAGAGAGAATCTAGTCGTTCGTTATGCATCTCACCTGTGTGCGAGTACGTACTTGTGCGTGTATGTACGCGAGAGCGAGCTGGCGAGCGAGCACGTTCTGTCTTTTTTCTGCTCAAGTGTCAAAAGGCTTCCCGAGAAAGAAATGCAAGGATTCTTATGTTTCGCGTACAAGCGCGTATGCACGCGTAGCATAAGTTCGAGCTTTCCGATAACTGCGCACTTGGCTGCTGTTTTTTTTTCTTTTTTTTTTTTTTAAACAATGGAAAATCGATCGATTTTTCTCTCGCCTCTCTTTCGTGGAAAAATGAAAAAAACAAAACAAACGAGGCACGCGCCTTTATTGCGAGCAGTGCTCGTGCGCATAAGCAGTCGCGCGCGTTGCAGCACATTGACAAATCCAAAGCCACCTGTCGATGTCTGCGATGTTATGGAACACGATTTTACATCTGCTTTATCCAAAAGCTCATAGCTGTCGATTAACGTAAATACCGCGTGCGCATTTGAATAAAGCTACTTTTAGGTATGCTTCGATGCCATTGTCTTCTATATGTTTTGCTATTGCACGTGTGCGCCATCGAGGGATCAGGTGGTGATTTTTCCAGTTGGATCAACGATAACAACACGCGGGAGCAGCAGCAGCGATCGCAGCGAGCGAGGGCACTCTCAGAAAGAGAGCGAAGAGATTCGGTTTATTTTCTCGATCGTTTCGGCTAAGGCAATAATAATATATCGAGAAAAGAAAGAATTTATCTATAAAGCTCATACGTTTGTTATTGCTCGCATTCTAAAAATAGAGATCTCTGCATTCTTGGCCAAGTTAGCTCCGCTTTCTGGTAAGCTCGGAAAAGCAGGCTGTCGCATCATTCATACTATAGGCGTCAATCATGATGTACGATTCATACAATTCGCGAAATAAATTGCCGATTATTAAGGTGTTGCTATTTGTTATTGCTTACAGGGAGGGCGAAGGTGGCGGAGTCGGAGGAGGAGGGGGAGGACGAGGAGGATCGGTGGTCAGCAGCAGCTGTGGCGGTGGCGCGGGCGGCGTCGGCGTCGGTGGCGGCGGCGGTGGTGGCAGGCACCGAGCACCGAGCCTCAGGCTCGTGAACGGCCGCATCAGCGGGGTCGGCAACGGGGCGGCATTGCGCACCAGCAGCAGCGAGTCCATCCGCACGCCCCATCACCATCATCACCATCTGTCGAACGGCTATTACTACTCCGCCAGTGGTGTCAACAACAATCATCCGAGACTGTGCAAGGATGACAGCATCAAGATCAGCATCGAGAACACCAACACCTGCACAGACAGTCTTGTCACGGCCTTAGACGACGAGACCCTCCTCATTACTGACTTTCTCGGCGACGCAGGTGAATTATTATTATTATCATCACGGTATTTTTGAGCTTCTCTGCTAAAACGGACACGCGATAACAAAGACGCGCTTTATGGGCAAATTGGCAGCCGGTGCTGCGCGCCAAATTGCGACCAATCTGCGCAGCTTCGGGTAAAAATAATAGCTTGTGCACAAGCACGCACAAAGACAAGCGCGAGGCTCGATACTGCAGCAGGAGCTACCACGTGTCACGTTGTGCAGCTCATACGCGTATATACTTTCGCACCGCTGGAAGCTGATTCGCCACTGTGCGCGCGCTCGTATTATGTGCTCACGCGTAGCGAATGAAATTATAGCCGATTTGGAGGCCGGACACAGTCGAGCTTTTGACTTTGCATGTAATATACCTGCGCGGCCTGGCGTGAAAATGTCATTTCTCGACGCGGCCATTTGATTGATTCGATTTTTTCCCCATTCTCGTCTTTCCAACTCGACGCAAACGATCGAAATGCCGTTAGAGAGGGATTGTTACACGCGCGAGCAGTGAGGGCGGACGGCGAAAAAAATTGTTTTGTGAAAAATGATGCTCGCGCGTGCAGACGGTTCGAATTTCACTGTAAAACTTTTTTTTTCACTGTTCATCGTTATTAATGATCCTAGTAAATACGAACAGCAGCGCCTCTTAAATACTATTCATTGTCCTTGCCGACGTCGCGCGGCCGGTCGAATTTTCCTCGGCAAACTTTTAATTTTAATAAGAATATTTAAATATGCTCCCCCGCCCGGCCGCGCGTGGGGGCGTGTGAGATTTATGCTCGGGCCATGCTGCTGTTGCTGCCTGCCCGACTGCCTGAAAACACCGCGCGTACGTAATATAAGCACATTGCAGCACTGACGGATAAATAAAGCGCGGGCTCGTTCATCATGTAGGCCTGCAGCAGTACGTCGGCAAAGTTGCGCCTATACGTAATGCATCGTACCAAGTACTATTTACGTCGGCAACATTTTCCTTAGAAAAAAATCAATGTTTTCCAGCTGCACGAGATCAAAGGCTAATGATTCTATCGGCCTGTCTTTTTTTTCATTTTTTTTTTTTTTTTTTTTTTTTCAACAAAACTCGAGCGCGAGCTTATGCGTTATATAGCGTATACACGCTGCACAGAGGCCTGCTGCAGCAGGCTGAATCGAAAGCGGGTAAGCAAACTATGTGCATGAGGCCATCGCAGGTTATAGGCATATACACACAGAGAGCAACACCGGGTTCATGCTAGGCTACCCAGAGCGCGTCGACGTGTCCTGCACGCCCTACTTTCTGCAGGTTTCTATGGGCGCGCGCTCGTTGGAATACGTACGCTGGCTGCTGGCTATATCCGGGTGACTTACTGCCTGCGAATTTCTCTTTGTTTCTTTTTTTTTCTTTTTTTTTTTTTTGTCTCACTAACTCACGCACACCGACTGATATACGAGCACACCTGTGCGCTTCTCCGGCAATTTTTTTGTTTCCTTTTATAATACGCGACCGTTACTGGTCGCGAGGCGACAAGTGTTTGAATGAATTTTCTTCTTTTTTCCTCTTTCTCATCGCGCACATTTTCGATCTTCGACTCGTACGCGTCAAGGTCGCGCCTACTCCTTAAGCAAAAAATCTTGGACTGTTTCTAATATAGACTGATGAGGCTTTGTTACTTTTTTCTCTTGACAGGCAACGACATGAATTACAAGGGGAGCGGCAAAGTTCACTTCGGGGTGGACGATGTCTCCCTGTACGGGACGCCGAAGGAGGAGCTCGGGCCGGGCTTGCCTGGGCAGGAGGTCAAGCAGAGCTTCATCAAGAACCAACTGCAGGCCTTGTTCCAGCCGACGGACAACAAGCTGGCCATGAAACTGTTCGGCAGCAAAAAGGCCCTCATGAAAGAAAGAATCAGACAGAAAGCTGCCGGTCATTGGGTCATACATCCGTGCTCCAGTTTCAGGTAAGACATGCACTGGAACAAACAAAAAAATCTCTCTTAATTATAACGACAAGACGGCAAACTCGATGCGCGGTAAACAAATCGGAGCCATATGAAATTATCCAGAGGATTTTACTCGCCGCACGAACAACTCGTGAGCTCGAGTCTTTGGAACGCGTTCGTATAATGGTGATAAGAGCTTAGCGCAACCTGCTCAGCATCTCCTATAATGCGCGTACACACAAATTCAAGTGTTTGCACAATAGCGCGTCTATGCATTATCCTCCACTTTATCCGACATCGTGTGTGTGCGCTTCTACTCTTGGTGGATCTTGGCTAATTATACTCTTCTTGCCTCTAATGATGTCTTCAGCCCAATGCTCTATCTCCGGTTCGGATTTTACGATTCTCGCTTTTTAATCTAAGAAGTTTCCATTCCAGGTTACGAGTGTGGGTGCATGCGCGTAGGTTGGAAAACATTTTGCGTATTTTTTTCCCCTTCTACTCGTTTTTTTTCCTGATCGTATGCAATCAACCTACTTACACAGGGAGTTCGCTGCAGATAAATCGAATGATGGTACAGACGAAAAAATCCGTGTACACAAGCGAAATTGACTTTCGACTATCGACTATATAACCTTGCACCTCGGCTGCAGCAGCACAAAGAGGAGAAATATAGACAGACGCGAAGCGCGCGGCGTTAATGAATTCATATTTATATAAAACTCTTCGATGAGCAATAATTCCCGAACACGGCACGTGCATTTTTGCACTCGTCTGGTTCGTGTACGTATTTGCAAAGCTGCAAGGTCGAGTCTAGAAAAGTTATTAACAACAAGCTCGCGAGCGCGATCGCTTTTTCATTTTAATCGATCGAGAAATAAGTATTCGAGTGTGCGCACGTGCGTATATATTTGCACACGCGCCACAAGAGCCGAGGTTTGGCGAGCACGCACGCATAGCGCGAATGCCGCACGAGGGCGAATTACTATATATGCGTGCGGGTATGTTTTAAGCTCGATTAACTATATACGTGCATCGGCGCTTGCTGTAGCATCAAAGTTTATCGAACTCGCAGAAATTACGATTTCCGAAAATAATTCGATTGTCTGTCTCTGCTTCTTTGTTTTACTATTTTTTCTTTCTCTCAATTTCTATCGGATATTAGTCGAAAGCTTTGCACAATGTGCGACCCAGAGAGAGAGAGAGAGAGAGAGAGAGAGAGAGAGAGAGAAACAAATAAAAAGCAAACGAAGATTCCGATTACCAATTGAAAAAAAATTGAGAATCCCGCCGGCTGGCGCTCGACAGATTAATTCAGTGCGGTGGCGTTCGACATTTTTGACTTTATCTTTTTCCCTCGCACTCACGCGCGCGCGCGGAATTGTTCGATGACAAAAGCGTGCGTAGATTAAAAATGAAATTTGTAATACCAGAGACTGCGGATCGATGTCGGATTTTCATGAAAAAAAAAGGAATCCCATTTGCATTATACGCTCAATTTTCAACAGTAATCCGGCAATTTCTATTGAAAAAATATTGCTACAGATTTTTTCCTCATAATATATGCAGGTATTATATAAAACCTCGCTCATCGATCGAGAAATTGACTGCGCGCAGCTTTTGATAATAAACGCGCGCGCTTGCGAATACGCGCGGCGTACCCGATGATCGGTAAATAGTAGTTCCGCCCTCCCTCCGGTACCCGCTCACGCGCAATGGTTAAATAGGTATATATAAATCCAAGTTTAGCATTTCATGCGTGGCACAATCCTACACATACACGTGCATGTGCATGCACACTTGCGCGAATGACACACGCAGAAGCAGGCGCAGCAGAGGTCGTGGAAAGCTAAAAGCGTACGTCGGTTGCTCGCTCCAGATTTCGAAAGTTCGACGAGCGCATGCGAGGCTTGCGCTGCTGCGCGTGATCTGCATGGCTCTCTCGGGCTGTTGACACCGTGCGCCACCAGACTCGACTGTATATAATACACTGCGCGTAATTTTCTCATCTAAATTTCGAATCACATTTTCGAAATCGCCAACTTTTTTTTACGAAATGATTTTATCGGCTTGAAAAATTCTCGAACACAGGCCCGTATGGTTCGGCGTGCTTAAAGAGGATTTAAAGCTCCACTCTTTTTCTTTCTCGGTCCGATAAGCCTCTATCGGTTGTTCAAACGCCGGATAAGTTAGAGATACGAGTAAACTTTTTTTTCCTCATTCCCTGCGCCGATAATGCGAAACGTAAATTCGTATATCTTAGCTATAGTCATACACACGCGCGCGTGCATACTCGGAGCTTTTAAAATTCCTTGGCTTTTGGGAAATTGAGGCGAATTCGATTAAAGCCGTCTAATTGAATTAAGCGGAGTTTGCAGCGCTGTCACTGTTCCTGTGCCACCGCGTATTATAGGTATAGAGTGTGCGTGCATCTGCTGCATTGAGACTTAATATTACGTATTACAGAGCACGCCTATTGTGCGCGCAGACCTTCATTTACGATGCGCTTGCGGTAATAACTATATTATAAGGACAATATTGTAATCGCTGCACTTGTGTACTATTAAAATCTTCACTTTATTTATATTTATTTGAATTGAGCTCTTTTAATTTTATTGAAATAAAATTAGTCAAATGCGATCAATATATGAAAAAAAAAATTTAATCAAGCTGTGACCTGTAAAAGCGCCGTGTCATAACTGCTGGAAACGAGTATAAAACCGCGGCTAATCCGATGATCGTCCATTTATAAGAGAGTTCCGCGATAGAGAGAAACAGCATCTATCATAACCCGCTCGACATTCAAGCGCCGCCAATTTTGTATGAAGTACGTTTTTGTCTGCTTTTCGCCGTTTGATTCGATAATTTTAGTAGTTTCTTTTTTTTCTTTTTTTTCTTTTTTTTTATTGTATTTCAACGATAGATAAAATGTCGATGATCGTCGAGCTTTCAATGAAAAAAGGAAAATAATAATAATAATAATAATAGCGACGAGCGAGTCACTCCCTGAGAAGGGCGTTGATCGTATATCGAGTACTTTACGTATCTCACTAATTCATGAAATTTGGCCATGGTATTGGACACCACTCGTTTTAACCCTAATAAACACACTCTCGCGAATCGGGTGTTTGTGTACCCTACGCGTGGCAGAAATTATAGGTATACTTTTCGTCGTTAAAGGCCGCGCGATCGCTCTATATGGATAATTCAGGAAAATGAATAGAGCCCGAGCAAGTTACTGAATTATTTCGTATTATCCGCGCACTTATCCTTGGCAATCAAACTATACGAAAATTGTTGTACAGTCGGAGGCTCTATATACGCCATTGCATAATACATGTGATACAGATAGAGAGACATATCGCGGTATATAGCCGTAGGAAGCAGATGCTTAAAATCGTCAAATGACTCGCTTGATGGTTGTAATTTGCTCTCAATGAATATATACGCGTCGCCGCCGCCGCCTGCTGTATACCGCACCGTGTGTGTGCAAAAGAGCAGGTTTTTACTGGATTATAGCGATCAAAGAATAATGTATACTATACGTAGAGAGGATATCTTCGATTTGCGACTTTTCGCAAAATATTAACACGTATACTTTTTACTCTCGCGTTATTTATTGAAGCTTTCCAAAGTCGTAACTTAATTCGTGTACACATACTCAAAAATGAACGTGTAATTAACTGGGTAGGTCACATGTCGAATCCCTCACCAGCGGATAATAAAAAAAAGGTACATTTTTCGTAATTTTCGTGGCTCGTGGCTCTTTCATCGATCCGACCTTGCCGCTTAGCTCGTACATACACACAGACTCGCGTACGTATTATACACATGAGCACACATATCCATGACGAGCTTTCAAAATTTAATTAACTGGTCTGAGGGGAAGGGCTACGTACCTGAACAATTTGCCAAGGTTAAGGCAATGTAAATATACCCGAATTTAATTTTTCAAGAGTTCGAAGTACTATTATATTATGTCGAACAAAAATGAGGAAGTAATTCGACGTTCACGTGTAATTGCCTCCGTTATAACTAATACAATAAGCTCTACACGCAGCTAATGCGACGACGAATGAATGGAAATAAAAAAAAATAAGAAAAAAAATGAGTCGCATTATTGGAAATCTTGAAAGCGTGATTATGCTGTCAAATTAACGTTTCTTTCGTTCTCGACGCGTATATAAATCGTAAATATTTATGGAGAACGAGAACGTGTGGTAACCAACTTCTAATGCCTGGTTGTTGTCGTCGACTCGCTTAGCACTGCACTTGGCGGAAGCGGCATAGGCGCAGAGTGCATATCAGCTCGGCGGTCCGTCGTTCATTACGCGCAGCTAGCTCGGAGGAGAGAATAAAAAAGCTGCTTTACAGTGGCATCATTCATTGCTTCGCGGTTATGAGTGACGCGTGAGATGCGTAAGTGCGCATCGAGAAAGAATGCGTTTGAGTGAAAATTAGCTAAGGATATTGCGACATTGACATCGAACGGAGTCTTTTTTTTACGGTCGCGAGCAGAGCATGCGGTGGCATCAGGAATCTAAGTTTTCGAAAGCTCGCGACCCGTGGGACCTTCGCAGTCGGATCTATGTTATTGATAAATATCTGTACATCCCCCGCAGGACGTACGTTGCTCGGCATACACCGTTTTATACAAAATTTACGCCGAGGCGACTTTATATGCGTCCCGTTCCTGTGCATAAAGACGGCATAAACGTCCGCTGCCAACGTCAATTATTCGAGATTTTCACGCTCGTGTGACTCCTACTGTATATAACTATGAATAAAACATTGTTTTCCGAGGGTATTCTCATCAGTTTTGAGTGGACACTCGAAAAAATATACATAGATAAGTACGCTGGGGCGAGTGCCTCACTGCGACTTGTCCTGCAGTGTATATGTGTGTGTGTGTGTGGGTGTGTGCGCGTGTCGAGCACATCTGTAAGATTACGCTTCAAGAGCCGCGTGTCCCGAGTAAACGAAGTTGCTTCTTTTTTTCTATTTTACTTTTTTTTTAA